CATTGGCTTGTTAGGGTGATTTTGAACAAATATGTCTGCATGACCTCCATGTCCATATTCATGATCGTCATGGTAGAACTGCCACTTAATTAAACAGAAAAGAAAATGAGAAATGGCTTCTTTCCATTTACTAGTTCTTTTCATATATAAGATTCCATGAGGGCGAGAAGTAGAGGATATATATGGCATTTTCTTTTTCCTGTATCCTTTTTATTTTGACCAGTATTAATTATCTCTTCCCTTTACACTTGTTCTTTACACTTGTTTTTATGAAAGGACGATATTATTGACCAATAGTATCTCCACCCTTTACACTGTTTTTTATTTTTAAAATGATGATATTCTACTTTAATTTAATCATAATTACATAGATGAGAATTCGAACTCAGATGCATAAAGTGAGTACATTGGTCCTAAATAATGTTGCTACACCCATGTCAACTATCATTTACACTTAATTAATTTGACATGCATACGCAAACATCTCTATAATTGCATGTGGTCAATATCTTAGTGGATAGGGTGTTGGGTTTCTATCATGCATCCCGAGTTCAAAACTCCCCCTCTCCCCTAAATTATTATACAACAGTTTTTAACCCTCCTCCCTACCCGTTATAATAGTAAAACTTAAAAAAAATAAAAAGTTCTATCTTTATAATCCTTTTTCTTTTTGTCGTTCTCTCTATTACGTACTCTTTACACTTGTTTACACTTTGCTTTGACGACTTTCATGCATGTTCTGTATTCTCTACCCTTCTCATTTAGGGGATTTAGAGTCCACTACTGATCATTTCAAATGGACACGCAAGATATCACCCACTAAGCTTGATTTGGAATGACTTTTCTTGCACTACAAGTATTTGATGCTGCCACAGATTTACTTTCAAGTAAAAGGTTCTAGGTAGCTTTGGTAAGTAGTTTAGTTTACCCCTTCCCGGGCTTTATGTGTAGTTAGCAAAGTGCATATACTCAATTGACCTTGTCATAGACAAACCCGGAAAATACTTGGCTGGTAATTTAGTTTCTACGGTGACTTGCCAAATGGGTTTTCCTATTTTGTTTGTTCTAAAACAAACGAGGGATTTTTCAGTGTGACCGGCACATGAAGTGGTACACCACGTGTTACTATACAAATTGTGGGATATGTTGTGTGAGTCAACCTTGGGGAATAAAGAATGTAGAGATATTTTGGGTATATAATTATGTAATTGGTGTCCTTGTATATTTGGGATACTTGCTTCCTAGTTTGTAGGAAATTGTATAAGTTTATATATTCCTCTATGAGAGGAGAATAATATTAGAACAATAGTTTACCAAAACCTAGAATTCTATCTTGGTATCATAGCAGGTTTCGACCTGACTCTTCTCAACAAACCCTAAACACCATACATACCCTAGCTATCGAAACTCTGGTTCATCAAATATTGAACCTATAAATCATATCTCGTAGCCTTTGGAAGCAACAAAGCTACAATTTGGTAAACCTATTAGTGCAATGGCAGAGGAAAAAGTCGGCGCCATAATCCCCTTGCAACCCGTGCATGTTCAGGGGTGAGTCTACCAATATCAATGCCATTCCATTTGGGTTTCGGTTGAGTGACTTGAACTTCAAGGTTTGGTCCAAGATGATGGAGGTCCACGCTGTAGGTCTTGGGAAGCAGGGCTACTTAACGGGTAAAATCTCGGTTGTTGATAAAGATGATCCAGGGTTTGTAAAGTGGTCAACTGAAGATGCCATAGTGCGGGGTGTGGTTGCTCAAAACCATGGAACCACACCTACTTGGCCTCTTTATAAACTTGCCTACGGCCAAAGATATATGGGAGAGTGTTACTCAGATGTTCTACAATGGTTCCGATAAGTCACAATATTATGAACTCTGGTGCAAGGCTACACGGATGAGACAAGACGGTCGTCCAATCAATCTATATTTCACCAAACTAAAGGGTGTTTGGTAGGATCTAGACAAGAGATGTCCTTTCCGCATGGTGTGTGGAGTGGGCCTGAAAACTCGAAAGCAGAAGTTGAAAAAGATAGGGTGTACAACTTTTTCGCCAGATTAGATAGTGGTTTTGACCAAGTTTGGAGTGAGATTCTAAGGATGAAACATATCCCCGAAATCGAAGAATGCTTTAGTTTGGTACGACGAGAATCCCAAAGAGAGGCCACTATGACGGGAACAAAAACTACAATGGTAGTACCCCCTATGGCTACGGTAACCAAGGCATCCAGTTCTCATCCACAGTTTAATAGAAGTGCTCAACCATCCCGTACCCAGGAGGATATAGATAAAAACAAACTCTATTGCAATCACTGTAATGGAACAAGACATACTGAGGAAACCTGTTTTAAAATTCATGGCTACCCAGATTGGTACTGGGAAAAGAAGAAGGAATTAAAGGCACGGGGAATAAGAGGACGAGACAAGCTCGAGTGGTAGCTATTAGACCTGGAGCAGCGTGCAGTGAACCAGGGGACCAAACTTGATAGGGGCCGAGGGATTGCTGCTGTTGCAGCAAGTCAGCCATGGCCCACTTCATTTAACCCAATCACAGCAGCCCAAGCTGCAAGGCCTACTTCAGAGGCAGCGTCCAAAGAAGGTGAAACTGGTCTACTTCTATCCTTAATCAATCAAATCTCCATGGGTGACAACTCGAAAGATTCAGGTAAAATCGGTAAGGTTTTAATAACATCCACCAAAAGAGATACTGGTTGGATCATCATTATTCTATCATATGACTTCACCATCTAAAGAATAGGTCATTACTGCCAACGGTGATGTTGCTCCTGTAACAGAAGTGAGTTCTATTTCCCTTACTCTATCTTTGTTTATTCATAACGAACTACTTGTTCCATCATTATCCAATCATCTACTTTCTATTGGTCAAGTTACTGAGCAATTAGATTGTGATGTGCTAATGTTTCCCACTTTTTGCCTACTTCAGGATATCCAGACTCCGGCGATAATTGGGCGTGGTACTAAGAGGATAGGGTTATATTATGTTGTTGATGTATCGGCAAGTCGAGTAAATCAAGTACGCATCAGTCATTCAAACAAGAATAAGATAGTCTGGTTATGGCATCGTCGATTAGGGCATGCATCTTTTGGTTATTTAAAAAAATTGATTCCATCTTTATTTCATGGCGTTTCAAACTCTGATTTCCAGTGTAATGATTGCATTCTTGCAAAAATTAATCGTATTTCTTATCTTTTGAGTTTCAATAAAAGAATAGTTCCTTTTGAGTTAGTGCATTCTGATGTGTGGGGGCGTTCTCCAGTAGCTACTAATCATGGGATTCGTTGGTTTGTTATTTTTGTGGATGACTGCACCAGAACATAGTGGCTTTATATTATGAAACATGAAAGTGATGTTGGACAAAATTTTCACCAGTTTGACTGCATGGTTAAAAATCAATACTCTCTTCCCTTTAAGGTTCTCAGGTCCGATAATGGTGGAGAATATCTCAATACCAAAGTTTCTCAATATTTTTAGGAGCACGGCATTCTTCATGAGACTACCTGCCCATAAACCCCACAACAAAATGGTGTTGTCGAACGCAAAAATAGACACATTTTGGAAACCACTTAAGCACTCCTTATTGGTGCTCACGCTCCTCACTCCTCACTCCTATTAGGTGGATGCCGTCAAATACTCCGTTTATCTAATGAACTGAATGCCCTCTCGAGTGCATAATTTTCTCACTCCTATGGAAGTTTTTGCTGATCATGTGACGTTACCATTTTCCCTTCATTTATCACCACGTATCTTTGGTTGTGTGGCCTATGTACACCTCCATAACAATCAACGTAGTAAATTGGATCCATGTGCAGTTCGATGTATTTTTCTAGGATTTAATGGTCAACAAAAGGGGTGCTGGTGCTATCACCCTCCTACCAAGCATATGTATGTCACTATAGATGTTACATTTTCCGAGCATAAGATGTTTTTTCTTACTGACCACACCTACTATAATCTTTAGGGGGAGATGAGCACATAAGATTATAGTTGGATTGATCTTCCAACTCAATAGCAGTGAGAGCGTGACATCTGCGGTAATGGAATCTACCGTGACCCAACAGTGGGTTTGAGTGACTGTCATGACCCAACAGTGGGTTTGAGTGACTACCGTGTGCCCAATAGCATACGTGAGCCCAATCTAAGATACTGCGCCCTTTGACTCACAGTTTGGACAGCCCAAGCACTTCAAGAAATAACCCTTCTCTAGTTATACCCGTCCATATGCCCGAGGATATCCTTGAGGTAAGTTTGTCCCAATCTGATGTAGCTTATAATTTGACAAACATTGAGAGTACTTATGTATTGCCTCCTAGATAAAACCGTGGGAAACCTCCTGACAGGTACTCTCCAGATGGAAAAGTGAGATATGCAATTGCAAAGTATGTTTCTATGCATCGACTATCTTCCAAGTATCAAGCATTGGTGAATACAATGGATGGAATTAAAATTCCAACGAAAGTGGAAGAAGCTTTGCGTGATCCTTGATGGACAGAATCAATGGAGGTCGAAATGAAGGCTTTACAAAAAAAAAAAAAATGGAACTTAGAGCGTGGAGCCACTACCCCAAGGAAAAAGATCAGTGGGATGCAAATGGGTGTTCACCATCAAACACAAAGCAGATGGAACCATTGACATATACAAGGCAAGGTTGGTTGCTAAGGGATACACATAGACTTTTGGAGTAGATTATTAGGAAACATTTGCTCCAGTAGCAAAGATGAACATTATACGGGTTCTTTTGTCTTTAGCTGCTAATTTTGATTGGCCGTTGAAACAATTTGATGTAAAAAATGTTTTTCTTCACAGAGATCTGGAAGAAAAAGTATACATGGAGCTTCCACCTGGGTATGAAGTGCATAATAGAATAAGTAAGGTGTGTAGACTGTGAAAGGCTCTTTATGGACTCAAACAATCGCCGAGAGCCTGGTTTGGAAGATTCACTGATGCAATGAAATGCAGATCAAACTTTGTTTATCAAACGCATGGGAGAAAAGGTTACCTTATTGATAATATATGTGGATGATATGGTAGTCACAGGTAATGATACAGAAGAGATGGAGAGACTACATGTGTATCTTTCTACGGAGTTTGAGATGAAAGATTTAGGAGGTTTGAAATACTTCTTGGGAATTGAAGTTGCTCGTTCCCGTGATAGTATTTATCTATCTCAACGAAAGTATGTTCTGGATCTTTTGTCTAAGACAGAGATGTTGGCATGTAAACCGGCAGAAACACCTATAGTTCAAAATCATCATTTGGCGATATACCCGGACCAAGTCCCAGCAAACAGGGAAAGATACCAGAAGTTAGTAGGAAGGTTGATTTACTTGTCTCTCACGAAACCATATATTGCATATGATGTTAGTGTAGTAAGTCAATTTATGCACTCTCCTAGTAAGGACCACATGGCTGCAGTAATGCGAATATTGAGTTATTTGAAAGGAGCACTTGGAAAAGGATTGATTTTCATAAAATATGGGCATTTGGAGGTCAAAGGGTACACTGATGCTGATTGGGCTGGGAATATTACTGATAGACGCTCTACATCAGGGTACTTTACATTTGTTGTAGGAAATCTTGTGACTTGGAGGAGCAAGAAACAAAATGTGGTTGCTAGGTCAATAGTAGAGGCCGAATATCGTGGTATGGCACATGGGATTTGTGAGTTATTATGGTTGATGATTCTTCTTACAGAGATTAGGTTCAAGCCACGTGGAGCTATGTTATTGTATTGTGATAATCAGGATACGCGAGAAATAGCTAATGATCCGGTTCAGCATGATCGTACAAAACATGTTGAGGTGGATAGACATTTTATCAAAGAAAAGTTGGATGTCAACTTAGTTGAAATTCCATACGTAAGATCTGAGGACTAGTTGGCCGACGTGTTAACTCATGCAGTGTCAGCAAAAGTGTTTCAGGACTCACTGGACAAGTTGGGTCTAGGAGATATCTATGCACCAACTTGAGGGAGAGTGTTGCGTGAGTCAACATTGGGGAATAAGGAATGTAGAGATATTTTGGGTATATAATTATGTAATTGGTATCCTTGTATATTTGGGATACTTGTTTCCTAGTTTGTAGGAGATTGTATAAGTTTATATATTCCTCTATGAGAGAAGAATAATATCAGAACAATATTTTACCAAAACCTAGAATTCTATCTGGATATATGTGTTAAAAAGTTAATAACTTAAAAATAAAATTTTCCACTAGTTACATAAAAATACGTGGTGTACCATCCATGTTCCCATCATAATGAAAATTTTCTCAAAACAAACAGTGAGTCTTGGGCATCATTTTTAGTTGTGACGAGAAGATGGATGGTACACCACATGTTTTTATGTAAGTGGTGGAAAATTTTGATTTTTAAGTTATAAATCTTTTAACACACATAACCCACCATTTATATAGGGACACATGATGTGACGGTCACACTGAAAAATCTCTCGAGTCTTGGGACATTGTTTTTTTTTTTTTCCGAAGCTCCAAGTCGCTAGCTAGATCTTTTGGCTTTTCTAATTAATTACTGCATTTGGGACCAGTTTTTTATTGGAATTTTTGAAGCCTTTGGCAGCTTATCAACTTATCTGAATTTCTGTCAAATTGTAAGAACTTATTCCACTCCACACACATCACAGATAATCCAAAAACATTATTAGTATAAAGATCCCTCCAAAATACTAATACATTATTAGCTCGAAACAAAAAAAAAATAAAAGAGCTTCGTAAGCATGAGCACACCAATTTGATAAAACTCTGGAAACCATAATCATACTGCTAAGACGTTGAGCTTGAGCGTGAGTTTATGCCCTAATGAACTCCACATGATCAAGCTTTGCTGGAGAAATATCAGGATCACCAACAATGGCAACCAAATCCCTATCATCACCATTCAAATAAGCCTTCAAAAATGCCACAACAATCTCACCCACAGCCTTCCTCATTAGCTCCCTCGGTCCCTTCCCATTTTACACATGCACCCCAACAATGCCCCAACTATGCCCTGTGGATCGTCGTCCAACATGTCCATGTGCCCATAGTCCTTGACAACAAAATGTGCACATGGGGGTTTGCATTCATAGAAGAACTCCTTGTGGTTCTGTTTGGGCCCAAAATATCAGTTTGGGCCGAGTATAGAATTATTCTCGGCCTAGAAGGCCTTACGACAGGGTTATCAGGGATCGTTTAGTTCTGGATCGGTTAGGTCGTGGGCTTCCAAACCTGGGTCGGTCAAGTCATGCTGCAAGACGAGTCGAATCCTGGTGCAATGAGGAGTCTCGGCAAGATTAATAACCCGGAAGTGAATCCGGCTCAATAAAGGACTAGGATCACAATTATAGTGAAAATAGGACTGGTCGAGTTGGTGTTTGATCAGGAGAAGAAGACCTAATCTGAGTAGGGTTTTAACTCGACCTTAAAGGTATCCAGTGCTATAAATAAAGGGGGATGTGCATCATTGAAAGCCCCTCCAATTCAACACACAACTGCCATGCGCAAACTCTCTCAACAACTTTGAGATTTTTATTTTCTCTTTTCGCTGACAAATCTTCCGTTGGCATAAACAACACTGTGAAAGCAACCGGTGATATCTTAAGTCAGCATAGATAGCTCTGTCGTCGTAGAATCAGCCGATCTCGCAGCATCTTCCGTTGGCATCAACAGCACTGCAACGAGGACGGTTGGTTACTTGTCCAAGTCTCAGTCAAGAAGGATTTCTAAATCTTTATTGATTGAGGTAATCTCATTAGCCTTCTCGGCGCATTGCACGCCGAGTTATTTTATGATTGGATACTCTCAAGTGGGATTTAGAGTTCGGCATTCAGACGGGCGAACCACGTTCACTATTAAGACTTATATTCGCTTTGAGTATTTGTGCCCTTACACTTCGGTGTCGATTCGGCGTGAGTTTACTCTGACGAATAACATCACTGTGACCGAATCCGACGACAACGATTCGTGAACTTCGTAAAAATAGTAGCATTGTCTTCAGGTTCGAGAACCCAAGAGGCCGAGACGTGTTCCTTCCTCGGTCGCAATTGCAAGACACAGAAGTCAGCCGCGCACCCAACGCAACATCAATAAATTTACTCCTCGGCTGAGCTCGGCCGACGAGTTGGCACGCCCCGCATTCACCAAATGACGTAGTTAGCTTATAGATTACTCGGCCTGCGCGCCACGTAGGCTTGGTAGTTTTTAGGGTCAATAGGTTCACGCCATCTGGGGCACATGGTTGTGCCATGCAAGCATTCTGGTTCCGGTCTCAGTCCGGTCCCGATCACTACGACCGGAATCGAGAGGTTGAACGATTGAGGGGAGAATAGGTGAGAATATGGGGATATGTTCTGCAGTGTTGGTCAGCACCCGCCACAGGGTCAATGCCTATGAGGACTGATATTTTGAGGGAGAGTGAAGATTTGGCATGCCCAAGTGCTGTTGCAAATGCTGTTTTCCCACCTTTGCTGCGGCCTGCTAGAGCAAATTTGGTGAAGTCTGCTACAACATTTTCTGGCAGCAGGGATTGGAGGCCTTTTGGTAACCAGTTTATGACTTTTGCCCCTAATTCGATTTCCTCAGGTCCACTTGGAGGTACATACCCACATAACTAATCAAAATGACAAGCTCACAAATTAATTTTGTTGTCAGACGATGTATTAAAACTATGAAAATTGGCCAAAATAATCCTAATTTATTTTTTCAAATCATGAAATGATCATTTTTTTTTTAAATATGGTCGATATTTGATGGATAGGTGTTTAATACATGATTGCTATGTAGTCAGTATTGCATCGCTATTATTTGATTTTTTTTTTTTTTATCTGTTTAGCAATTTGGATTTAATTTCTGATCATTTAATAAATTTTCCTTAAAACTAAAAGTTTGTTTGGAAGTTCATTTAAAATGGTGAAAAATATTTTTAGATAGGGTAAATTAGGGAAACTTAATTTGTAGACTAAATTTGCAAATTAAGTAATTTGTCAACAATACGAAATAAACATGTTAATTAACACTTAAGTAATATCGAATCATCAACTTTCATGTCATTTAGGTTACAAAATTTGGTCAACAAATTTAGTCTCCCTCGCATATTATCCTTTTAGGGTTTAGGGTTTACGGTTTAGGGTATAGGTAATTAAAGCACACTAAACAAAAGTTCTTATAGGCATAAAAGCATTTTCAAACACTCATGACCCTTTTGTTGTAGTAGATTAGAGCTCAAATATTAAGGACGATAATTGTTGAAGTAGGAAAAAAAATTACACTATATGGCCTTAATATAGAATATTGTAAGACAATAGTACCTGAGGTGCTACAGCTACGAATCCATGAGAAGCTATGTGCTGGAGTAACTCTTTATAGAAATAGTTGCTGAGGTAGAAGCCGTGATGAAGCAAGATTACAGGGTAGGTGCCGGCAACTGTCGGTGTAACGATGAACAAGGGCTTTGGAGGTGCTGAAGAATCAAAGCAGGAAGACAGTGGCGTCTCCTCTGTGATGCATTTGAAGGTGCAATTTCCTTGATAAAAAAACAGATGTAGCAGCTGACTTAAATTTTTCCACAAGTGCCATGGGGCTCATTGTATGTGAGTACTACGTAATGTGAGCCTACTAGTTCTTTCTTATAGTGAACCAATGGTTGGGCAGCAAATATGGGAAGATCAGTTTGAACTTGGCTGAAAAACTTGAGAAACAAATTGCATGTGATGAAATAAAGAGGGAAGCGATTTTGTCACACCTTGCCTAATAAGAACAAGGCAATTGAAAGGGAAAGGCCTTGCCCTTGAGTAACACATGGAAAATGCAAAGCTGTTGTTAAGTCGTAGGTCTACTCGGAGAGGTCGTAATAAACAAGAATGGGGACTACTAGGCTTTTGTATCGTAGTAATAATTTGTGAGGTCCAAATCAAGTGGGGCTAACCCTGAAAGTACACTACCAGTATACCTGTCACCTTGTGTGAGAGGCTGAGGGCCAATTTCAGAATTTTTGTCCCCTATGCCATGTACCCGGCCGGTGCTGATATTTTCTTTTTCATTTTCCTTTCTACTTTTAAATTGTACAAAGGATGCAATTGCTATTAGGTTGATATTATAGGAGGTGGATTGTCTCCTTCCCATTTCCATACTTTTTTCATCTTTTTCTGTTTATGTGGTAACGGTTAAGTCACGTCAATATTTTATATTAATTTTTTTATAAAAATAATAAAATAAAAAGTAATAAGAATATAAAATGTTAACGTGACTTAACGGTGACCACACAAAACAGAAGGAGATGGGAAGAGTATGAAAATGGGAGGACAGACAATCCACCTCCTATATTATATGCATACTTGTACCTCATTCACCTATTATTTAGTCATGTTTTGTGCTAGATTGTTGGATGTAATGTGTTTTGTGAGAATTTTATAGAAAATATGGATTGAGAACAAAATGTAGATTTAAGTAAAAATACGAGAATACCTGAAGAATTACGAGTTTGGTTGCTATTATGTGCCGTTTGGACCTATGCAAGTAAATTTGGCTAATCAAGGAACAAAATCCAAAGAGGATTAGGAGTGGTGCCGTGTTCAAAGCGGAAAAGGAAAAAAGCTTTGATTTTGTTTGCCAACGAAGACTTGAATCCGAATCCAAATCCAAATTGGATTAGCTAGTTATTACCCTAATTCTAAAGGTTTGTGACATATATAGAGAGAGGGTGTGGGAATTCTTTCTCACCACCACCAATTCATATTTTCCACCAAAAATACAACAAGGAGTCGACGTTGCATTGCTTTGGAGCCGAGTTGGAGTTTCAATAATTCTTCTATGCCATTATTCAACCATGTCTATCCTTAGTCGGTCATAACAACTAGGCTACATCTTAGCCCCCAAAAAAAAATGTTCATGATCGATCATTATACATGGTTGAATTTGATGGCATGGAAGAATTCTTGAAACTACAACTCGGCTCCTTGTATTTTTGGTGGAAGATATGAATTGGTGGTGGTGAAAATGAATTGGTGATGAGTATGACAAGGTGACGGTAGAAGAAATGATTGTTGTGTTTGGCTCATATATTTGTGAGTAATTATGAGTCATGTGTTGACAACAATTGAAGACATGATGACTACCACAAGCAAAGTTATACTTTATAGACTAGGTATAGACTTTGGTGCATGCTAGGTAGGCTAGGTAATAATTATGTCATGTGAACTTAAGACTTTTTGGTCTTGGTTGTTGGCATAGTTGCTAGTGTATGCCTATAACTAGATGCAATATTTGTGCATTTAGTAATGCTTAGAAAGTGGGAAGGTAAGCATCATAAAAGCATCCAAGGGGGGAGCATCCGGCTCTCCCATGGGAAAGGTTGAACATGGGTTGAGAGAAAATCAAGAGAGCTAGAGTGAAAAGTATTCTAGTGAAAGAACTCTTGGGGTAGAGTGAGGCTCTTAAGAAAATTCTATGAGTGAGTGTGCAAGGGATTCGGGATTGAGTTATGTTGATTTAACTCATGTGTACTTGTACTGTTATTCTCATAGTGAAGAGCAATATCTCTCCGGGGACGTAGGCATGTTTTTGCCGAACCTCGTAAATTTCTCAGTGTCTTTATTTCTTGTATTTTATTATGTTCAACTGAGTGTGATTTGGTGAGGTTGTAATCTGAATCTCGTTTCCGCACTAACGAACGGGTCAAGGCACAACAATTGGTATCAGAGCATCGTTGGAGGCTTGGTTCGTTGGAGGTCCAGATTTGTTGTTCACCATAGAATTTTCAGTTGAGCAGTTTAATGGGAGAGGCGGTTTTACTCTTGGTAAAGGAGAGTAATGGAAGCCTGAAGAAATGGAAGCCGTGTTCAAGGATACTTGGATCAACTGCGAAAGTTGATGTTGAGGAAGAAGAAAAAGGCCTCTTTCTTCTTACCTCACTTTCAGATTCGTACGAGAACCTTGTGAAACTTTACTGCATGGAAAGATACAATAAGTTTGGAGCAGGTGAAAGCTTCTTTGGTGTGGAATGATACACAAAGGAGACCATGGATGATGGTGGGCACAAGACTGCTTAAGCTATTCAAGGTTGGAATCATGGAAGAAAATTGGAAAGAGGATTTGAGAGAGACACCAGGTTCAGATCCGGTTCCAGAGGCAAGGGTCCACAGTGCTTTGGTGCAAGGCCGGGTGGTAGCAAGTTTGTGGCATAAGGCTTCAAGTATGCCATCTAGGTACTCGAAGCAACACTTCTCCTGGTGATGTTTAATCTCAAGTGTTGCAGGGGTTTTGCAACAGATGGAGCTATGGGATTCACAGGTGATGAGATGGTCCTGAGGTATGAGGAAGTGTGGAAATTTTGTCTGGCTCGATGGGTTGTTGCTGGAAACGGGCGCGCTGATGAGTTTCCAGGTTACAGACAATGAAGATGAGGAAAACCTGTTAGAGGAGACGAGGGTGTGTCAAGATCCTGTCTGAAGCTAAATGGTGAATTTTAGCTTGCAGCAACTACATATGCATTGGCAATGACTGAATCGGAACAGGACCAACGAGGTTGATTCGGGGTGTGTATGCTGGTACGTAAGGCCAATGAGCTTTGGTGATGGGTGCAAGGATTTTTGCATGGTGTATTCGCCAAGGTGGAGATTGTTGTGTTTGGCTCATATATTTGTGAGTAATTATGAGTCATGTGTTGACAACAATTGAAGACATGATGACTACCACAAGCAAAGTTATACTTTATAGACTAGGTATAGACTTTGGTGCATGCTAGGTAGGCTAGGTAATAATTATGTCATGTGAACTTAAGACTTTTTGGTCTTGGTTGTTGGCATAGTTGCTAGTGTATGCCTATAACTAGATGCAATATTTGTGCATTTAGTAATGCTTAGAAAGTGGGAAGGTAAGCATCATAGAAGCATCCAAGGGGGGAGCATCCGGCTCTCCCATGGGAAAGGTTGAACATGGGTTGAGAGAAAATCAAGAGAGTTAGAGTGAAAAGTATTCTAGTGAAAGAACTCTTGGGGTAGAAAGAACTCTTGGGGTAGAGTGAGGCTCTTGAGAAAATTCTATGAGTGAGTGTGCAAGGGATTCGGGATTGGGTTATGTTGATTTAACTCATGTGTACTTGTACTGTTATTCTCATAGTGAAGAGCAATATCTCTCCGGGGACGTAGGCATGTTTTTGCCGAACCTCGTAAATTTCTCAGTGTCTTATTTCTTGTATTTTATTATGTTCAACTGAGTGTGATTTGGTGAGGTTGTAATCTGAATCTCGTTTCCGCACTAACGAACGGGCCAAGGCACAACAATGATAATGGTGGCATTAGTGGTGATGACAGAGACAACGATATTGGCAATGTCAGCAATAGGGTAGCGGAGATGGTCATGGTTAAATGGTGGTTACCACATGGTATGGTGAAAGTAGAAACAATGATCATCCTTGCATTATGTGGGTGGGGAAGTATATCATTAGAGAGAAATCCATCAAAATCCTTGGACAAGAGGTTGGATTTGCTATGACAAATTGACAATAAACATACCATAAAAAGCCTCAAAGTCTATGAAGGTACATGACTTTTTTTTTAAACCCTTTAAAATCAATGAACCTTTGAATACATCTAAATTTTAATCTGTAGAGTCATAAAAAGTCATAATTGAATGCCAAGAGATTTTTAGACCTTTTAGAACTCAAAAAAAGTCTTTATTCAATATAGGCTGACTTTTATTGACTCTACCTGAATTTGAGAGTCAAGCAAAAGTCCAACTGCATATACAATACATCTTTTTTATATTTGCATGAAAGGTGAATTATCACCATCGAACCTAATCCTATCCTTGAGGTAGGGAAAAGGATCCTCGCTGGATCCTTTTCCTAAGGATCCTAGGAATCCTGTGATCTCATCCGTTCATCGTACATCGTGCGGTCATAAATCATTTTAAAATTTAAAATTAAATATGAATAGTACATAACAAAAATTGATCGCATGATATACAATGAACGGTTGAGATCACGAGATCCCTATGTACATGTTGATTATTCAATGTAGTGTATCTTTGTGCAAGAAAGTCCGTAGCGAGTTTGATGCCCATTTTATGGTACTAGGTCTAATACCCATTTTATAGGTATTGTGGGTTTTGATACCGAATGTATAGGTGCCGAGGTGGGTATTGATACTGAATGTATAGGTACTGGGGTGGGTTTTGATACCGAATGTATAGGTACTGTTTGTGGAATTTTGATACCAAATGTATAGGTACCGTAGGAGGGTTTTGTCAAAAACATAATAATAATTCTATGATGAACTGCCAATTTAATTCCTAAATTATCACCTGAGTGAAAATTAGGTCCCTACACTATATATTTTTTCAAAAAAAAGCAATCATTGAATTAAAAAAATTTACCAATTACATCCCTAATATTAGATTTGAAGCTACTATATTCAATTTTCCGTCAATTTAAGTCACATTACTTGCATATGATACACATTGGAGGGCAGCTTGGAAATTTTTCATAAAGAAATAGTGTATGGAGTTAACTTTGGAGGGTAAATTAGAAATTTGATTCACAACCTATATGAAATGGTAAGGGCTTAGAGGCGAGAAAATTACGATATTACACTCTAAAGTGTATCAAGTGACTCAAGTTGACGAAAAATTGGATAAATTAAATAGCTTAGAATATATTAGTAGGAATGAAATTAGCAAGTTTTGATGAATTTAGGAACTTATTTTACCAAAATAAAATAATTCAGAGACCTAATTTTTACTAAGGTGATAGTTCAACTATCACCCATAATTCTATGTTTACAATCAACGGCAAAATAGTCATATAAATCAGAAATAAATGCAAAATTATGGTTAAAATCGAAACAACATAATTGTTGGGTTAAACCAAAAAGTAGCTATGTTGATTGAGCCTAAATAAAGATATCTTTTTATCTTTTTATACAATATATTTCTACTTAGAGAGAGGAAAGGTGAGAAGTATGACAGTTTACAGATGTAGGAGATCATCGAAGATATTGGCGGAAAAAATTGATCAATGAAGATTGTGCATGTTAATTTAATGAACAAACAATGAGTCGTATACATATGTAATTAAGTCACCGTTTTATTTGTCCGTATTTCTCAAATTTAAATCTGGAGTCAAGATTTTGTTGTACTGTTCAAGCTAACTTCCCCAATGAATGAGTTATGGGAAACCATGAATACTGTTTTTGGTTCTTTTACAAAAGCCAACAGTTCCTTGTAAAACAGGGAACTATTATTATTAATCGTCCATCTGGTAGCTCATCTTGGCAAGAATTATAGATTTAAACTCTGTATTTTGCATCTATATAAAGCTCATACGGGAAACAATCGTGTAAGGTTGTCAACAAACCTGTGGAAAGCAATGAAATGAAGTATAGATACGCTGTTCAGAAGTTGAACTAACAACACCAATACCGTTTGACCTAACCTTCATATTTCTCTATAAATAATGGTTTAAATTTTCATGAAAAAACACAACTTTTACCTTTGCATGCAACAACTGCAGACTTCATTCCTCCTATACATTCGTTACCATTAATTTAGCTAGCTCCAAATATGGTGGTCGATCATGGCTTCCGCCCGGCCTTCGTATTACCACTAGTTCTGGTCTTTACCTTCTCACCTATGAGCTCCAAAACAATGATTGCGGGGGCTCGCTGCCTTCTGGAGACTTCCTTGCCTCATGTGCCCGAGCTTCCGAAGCCTGAGCTGCCACCACTTCCCAATTTCCCAACGTTGCCAAAGCCTGAGCTGCCGCCGTTGCCTAAACCCGAATTGCCAAAGTTTCCAAATCCTGAGTTGCCACATGAGCTTCCAAAGCCTGAGCTGCCACAGTTGCCGAAACCTGAATTGCCAAAGTTTTCAAAGCCTGAGCTGCCGCATGAGCTTCCAAAGCCTGAGTTGCCGCCATTGCCTAAATCCGAATTGCCAAAGTTTCCGAAGCCTGAGTTGCCACCACTCTCTAAAGCCGAAAATGTACCAAAGCTTGAAGGCCTGAAATTGGCTGAAGTGCCCCATGTTCCAACCTTGCCTGCGGTGCCTCAACTTCCCAAGCCTGAATTGCCACCACTTCCCGAGTTCCCAACGTTTCCAAAGCCTGAGCTGCCACCATTGCCTAAGCCTGAATTGCCAAAGTTGCCTGCAATACCAACTCTTCCCCATCTTCCAACTGAGCTACCAAAGCCCACATTTCCCTCCATCCCTTCACTCACCCCACCTCACAAAACAACCCTTCCCTGAATCATATATATGGGGGTTGATTAATTTATTTTCCTCACTACTCATCTATATATCTCAGCTGGTTTTATGACATCCATCCTTACAGATGGATTATACTACTTATGTATCTTTGTAATCATTAAGTTCTCTTGAGTTTCTTTCTGATCATGTACTTACTCATATCATTTGATGAGTATTATTTTATTGTTATTCTTATTTGAGTTTGTTATTCTTCAATATCATCTGGTAAAATCTAGATGCAGAAAACTTAGCCTTATATTTATTTCAAAACAAAAATCTTGTTGTTAATTACAACTTAATTGGTACATATATATTCACCAAAGCATCACAAAACAGAAGCAGTACAAAACGAACTCACTATTTTGAAAGGGGCCTGGCCTTTTTGTTTTTATTTTTTACAAGTAAAACGAAATGAATCCAAGATTCAACCTTTCATAATGGTGACGAACATGACATCCTCATAGAACACACTATTTCAGCGAGCGCTATAAAACTATTCATCCCCTTTCATATAGGTTTTCTGTAATGGAAAATGCAAGCTAGGGAACGGTAAGACTCGTAAATAATAAATACATAAATAAAATACTTATGTGACTCAATAAGCGGTAAGACCACTTCAAATTACTCATAGCAATTTTCTAAAAGACCATGGAAAAGATTCCGTGAAAATTCAACGGTCACATTTTTTAAAAAAAAAATGTTAGCTAATGCTCACGGTTTTTATTTACTTTTTAGCCATCATAAAACTTTTTTTTTTTGTAATTTTTGTTGCATTATATGCTTCTTCAAGTGTACGTAAGACTTGAATGAAACTTTTTTAATCTTTCAAAAAATAGGAACAATTGGTGATAAGCCACGCTACTTCTATTAGTTTTTCTATTTTCAGCTTCTATATGCCATAAAGGTACGTATGTGACTAAATAAATAGTAAAGCCACTTCTAATTTATTAATTATAACATTTTCCTTAATGCTCACAATTTTTTGCGAAAAACCCAACACTGAAAATGTGAGCTAACATTTAGTACTACTGTTCAGTAGTATTCCTCTTTACTTGTAAGTGAGAGGTCTTAGGTTCGATTCTCGCCTAAGACGAATTTAAACCACTTTATTCGGAAAAAAAAAATGTGAGCCAGCACAATTAGTGTTGCGAATTTCTACAAAAGATCATCATAGACCTATTTTTGTGTCCTTTTCAAAACATGGTAAACTTCTTAATGTTCTGACGCAGCAGAAAAAATACAATAGAAGGATTGACAAGCGTCAAATCCAATTACATAAACTGAAGTTCATCAATGTTCCAGAGTTCACCAAAAAATAAAAAAAAATCTCTAAAGTTGAATTGATAATAACGTGAGTAATTTGAATTACAACTTCAAGACAAGTCTTTATATAGACATCAAACCCTAATTCTAGTAGTTCATGGAAATCTAATGAATAAAGGAAACATAAAAGAAAATTGTAATTAACTAGAGAAAAGGAAACGTAATTCATGTGGGACAAGTAAAGATAAAATTACCCAAAACTTTTCCACTGATCTCTTTTCGCTAACTTTAGCCAATTTAATAGACCGCTATTTGGTCCTACACCATGTTCATGTAAAACTTTTTTTTCAAGGATCATGTAAAACATTTAGCAGAAGGGTGTTGCAACCTACAAAATAAATATTGCAACTTGCGAAAACTCAATATATATATATATAAAGGGAGTATCTATCGTACCGTATCAAAATTAAGGTCTCAATGTCATTTAAGATATATCATGATGGTTCAAAATTACACTCTAAGGTCAATTACATAAATATGATAACGTTCAAGATAATAACAAAGAATTACATGATTATAGTAGGCTTACTTTTAGCTATGCCCCTTGGAATTCGATTCTAATCTCACTTTGCTCTTTGTAAATAAAAAATCGCCACCTTACTTCCTGAAACTCAAAATTCGCTCCACTTTACCCTCTGGTTTGCCACTTGAAACTCAAAATTCGTCTCTATAATAATTTTGCATAGGTCAATCAAGAAGAAGATGTCATTGGTGACGGTGAGGAGCACCATATCTCAATGACTATGACATCATGATTAACACTATTCCTTCTAGAGCCATCAACGACCTCCACGAGATCGTGACGCTGATGGTGGTGACAGGGTTCGAGAAGGAGTGGTCGCACATCAACTGTCGGAAACTTTCTAGAAGAAAGCTTTGTCGAGGTTAGGGTGCAGAAGTTGAACTTGAGCATCGATGAGGTTTAAAAGACACCATGAAAGGAGCTCGAAATGTTACAATGTACCTCAAAGTCTCATTAACCTATTTATAAGTTTGGTATTGCTGTGTTTTTTTAATAAGTTGCTTATGCTATACTTTAAGAATAATCAGCTGCAAAATAAAGTAGTTGAGTGTTTGATACTATTTTTTAAAGTGTTGGGGGTATGAAAAGTAGTGTCTAAAAAAATAAATAATGTCATTGTTTAAAATTAATGAACTTACTACAGGAATTAAAAATATTCTAAAGGTTCAACTTTGCTTTTTATTAAAACAGTTTTAAAAAATAACCGACATGCTGCTTTTAAAAGTTGCTGTCTGGAGGTCATTGCTTTTAAAATAAACAGTATATTTTATTTTTACCAAACACTTTTTTACTGCTTAACTTTAAATAAAGCAGTTTTTGGTGAAAAAAAAAAAAGGTAATACCAAACTAGGCCTAAATTCAATTGCATATTGTTACCATCATTAATTTTTTATTAATTTTATGAAAACTTACCCTTTTTATTACGTTACCCAAACATTCCAACCATCAACATTTTCTCGTTAACAAGTCTTGAATACTTGTTAAATCTAAAATAGTGAATGTGCTATATTGTTCCCGTACGGAAGTTTTGAAGTCTTTTAACTTTCTTCTTCTTTTTATTGGTAAACAAGTCTTGAGTGCAACCAGTAGATTAACTAACACAAAAGAGCCGGAATAGAAAACGTATGTCCTCTTCGCAAGATTAATAGATTTGCACTCAATATTTTATACATATAAAATGCTTGTATGGGAAACAATCTTATACAGTTGTCAACATACTTGTGGAAAGCAAAGAAATGAAGCATAGTTATGCAGTTCAGAAGTTGAACTAACAACACCAACGTCCATTGACCTAACCTTTGAGAGCTCCATGTTTTTCAAGGCTACCCAACTCTTTATACATCTCTATAAATACTGGCTTAGATTTTCATGCTAAAACACAACTTGTACCTTTGCAATTGCATGCAACAACTGCAAACTGCAATTCTCCTAGATAACTCGTTCCTTTTTAATTTAGCTAGTTTCAAATATGGTGGTCGATCATGGCCTCCGCCCGGCTTCCGTCTTACCACTGCTTCTGCTCTTTACTTTCTCACTTATGAGCTCCGAAAAAATGGTTGTGGGGGCTCGCTTTCTTCTGGAGACTTCCTTGCCTCAAGTGCCGGAGCTTCCGAAGCCTGAGCTGCCACCACTTCCCAATTTCCCGTCGCTGCCAAAGCCTGAGCTGCCGCCATTGCCTAAACCCGAATTGCCAAAGTTTCCAAAGGCTGAGCTGCCACATGAGCTTCCAAAGCCTGAGCTGCCTCGGCTACCTAAAGCCGAAAATGCCCCAAAGTCTGAAGGCTCCAAGTTGGCTGAAGTACCCCATGTTCCAACCTTGCCCGAGGTGCCTCAGCTTCCAAAGCCTGAATTGTCACCACTTCCCAATTTCCCGACTTTTCCGAAGCCTGAGCTGCCACCATTGCCTAAGCCTGAATTGCCAACTCTCCCCCATCTTCCAGCTGAGCTACCAATGCCTACACTGCCTTCCATCCCAACCCTCCCCAAGGGCACACCCATCCCTTCACTCGCCCCACCTGAACACAAATCCACCCTTCCCTGAATCTTACATTGGGAGGTTAATTGACTTGTCTCGTAATTTATTTATCTATATCTCAGCTGGTTATATATTACGTCCATCCGTACAGATGGATTATACTTGTGTATCTTTCTAATCTTTATATATGGTATCTTGAGTTTCTTTCTGATAATGTACGTGACTACTGATATTATTTGAAGAGTATATGTATGTTAATGTTATTCTTATATGAGCTTCTTGTTCTTCTGTGATCTCCTGCATGCGTTTGGTGCTTGTGTGCCGAACAGTACTCGAACCCAAAAATTTTTAAGAGAGCAAAAAGACATGTAAAACTTGTAAAAAAGATTGTAGCATACCTTTCGGGATTTCTCCAAACGACGTTTTGGTCGTTCATTCCTAAAACAAAAATGTATCAATGCAAATTTGTATCAATTCGTCAATAAACGGGAGGACGATTGAGCTGGATTTTTTGAAGGCTTGGAGGGAACGAGTGAGTCGTGACTGTTTGGACTGAAAATGAGCATCGGGCCTAGTCAGGATCCAATTCTTTGAAATACGGTTGCTTACTGGGTATTTAATGACTTTTGACGTGGCATATTTGGGTGGAAATGTGACCAATTAATCGGAAAGGGATCCTCTCCTAGTCCTAGGAATCTACAAATCCGGACTATTGAAATTTGATTCAAATGACAAAGTTATTATAATTTTTAAAGTTGGCTCTTGTTTGTAGCTGTTTGATCAAATTTTAAGAGCCCGGATTGATGAATCCCTAGGATTAACAGGAAGGGATCCGGAGAGGATCCCTTTCCCAAGTAATCAACCAACAAAACTACTTGTTACAAATAACATTTTGTTGTTGCATCGAAACATATAAATGTTCACTATTCTAACTAACATTGAACTTGGTAAAATGAAATGGTTGAATAATTGAAAAATGAGATTATCACCGACGTTCACATTGAAGGACGGATTTTGCAGTCGATTTTTATAGAAAAGATTTTCAATGGCAAAGTCATAGATACAAGAGGATTGAAACTCAAGTATCCAAGTGGGAAACTTATGTCCTTTGCCAAAGTCACACCAACCACTTAGACCTGAACTGAGAACTTACTTTGGAAGAAATGAACAGTTTCTATAAAAGGCAGGAGACGCATTGAAGAAAATGTCGCTCAACTCAACATACAAAAAGACTTCTAAGAGCTCTACAACCTCGTTGCTAATTTTCTCTTTGCAGTTCAAACATTCCTTTATAATTATAACTCTGCTACTTTCCCTTGTAGTACTGGTTTCCTATATTAGAGTCTTTTCTCAGAACATTGCCAGTAATTGTAAAAACTTGCCTAGAAGGCATTTCAACTTGCCCGAATATATTTAAACTTTGCCTGATTGCTTGTATTTATTATTTACTTTCGACATATGGTCCTTTCATGTTATTTACTATCCTTTTAACTAACATTCCACCATAAGTATTTGCAAACATTTTTCTTGCAGTTCTCACTTTATTTTACTTTGCTTTGCTTTCTGTCTTTACTTTTCTTACAAGGATTGCAAATTGATTTGAATCATCAACGATCAGTTTGTGTTCATTGTTTTGGCATTCAATACAAGAGAAATATAAAGTCCTTGTCTTCAAAGCATATAAAAGAACTTAAATATGGACTTAACCCCTCCATAAGAAAATCCTTTGATAAGAAGGCTAGTTTACTTGTGTCACAAGCAAACGACATATAAGACATCTAAAATTAAACAATCTGTTGGTCTTAGCCAGCAGTGGCACACCTGAAAACAACTAATTTTGTAAGAGAGTCTAGGAGCCTACTCAAGGCTTTGCTAGGGCACCTTCAAATCGACAAGAGTTCATCACTCACGCAGGGGAGAGTTGTGTGCGGATCTCACATCCAACAGTGACTATCATGTGGAATGAACGAGAGCACAATAAGAAATAAAAATTTCATTATTGAGTGTCTAGAGATAAAAGTTGGGCGTAGAAGGTCCCCTAGTTATTTGGTCATATATGAAAACACATGTAATAGTTGAAATTTGAAAACACAAACATACCTAAAAAGGAAAAACAATGTGTAATACACAAAAAAGCAAAAATATTGCTCCCTACGAACAATGATCCTTTGTCTTCGTATAACAGTAGATCTATAGCCAATATGCCTTGTGGCAACAAACACAAGCAAATTAGTATTTTTTTGCCGTCCTCTTCACAACCAAGCATCCGAAACCAAACAGTCGAGCGTCGCTCAACTACCAAAGAAAAATGGTCATCATTTCAAACTTCATCTAAAGCTTTTACATTAACGATACACTATGCAGGAATTCATTTATTCGCGAAAATATAATATATCTGTGGAACTACAAAAATTTAAGTTAAAAGGCTTAAGCTTACAGTAAGCATCGACATATATGTACACACATACGCGTAGTGTCTTGTTAAGAAAGAGATACGACAGTTATCACAAGCAGCTCGTACTTATTTAACTGCATTGCCCTGCTTCATATGGAAAATGAGTCATTCGCCCAATCCACAACCCAAGTTTTTCGTTGACGTAAATGTGGACACGCAACCACTTGTGTTATTTTCAAGAGATAAATCCAACCAATTATCCAGTCCAAAAATCCAAAAAGGAAAATGATGAGGAGGGTTATAATGAATCGATATGAACATGACAGAAAGCACACTCCAGAACATTATGCACACAAGTCGGTCTAAGTACCATTTGCCCAGAACCACATAAGTAAGAACAAGAGATATATTTGAAACAAAAACGTAAAGGATGTAATGTATCAACATTAAGCAACCGCAGATGTCAATAGAACTTGGAATACATTAGCACTTGTTGAAAAACTAATACCTTGTATCAATGAGCCCCCCTCGTATCAATGAGCCCCCCTCTTCATCATAATTTCTTACGAAAATTACTGGATAACCATTTCTTACCAAAATTTACAATCTTCCTCAAGAGAACAAGTAAAAGAAAATAGATGAAGACAGATGATTAACAACCCTGTACATTAATAAAATGTAATACTACTAGCCTAAAGATTAATGCCTACTGTGCCTATATAACAAAGCAAAACCATTTGACACCGTAGAGCCAACACCAAGGGGTAGAAAAACAGTATTTACTTTCTTTGAAACGCAAATTCATTAGAGTACAAAGACTGAATGTTATTACGTAATATGCAAGTACGATACCTCCAGTAATTAGAAATCACCTCTTTCGAGTAGCCCAGAATTCTCCTCTGATGTCTGCCTCAATAAAGTCTGCCAGTGCACTCTGGAGAACCACAATAGCAACTCTTCTTCTTTATCTTGCCATTAGAATCACGAACCTGGTCTATCATATAATTGTAATGATAGGTCAACTCTTGCAAAGGAGGAATGTTCTCAGCAGCAAAGAACATGATGTGAGGAATTCTAGTGTCATCATGATCATAGAGGACATTTTGGGCATAAAGATTAGGAGAACAACTATGGTTGATAAATCTTCCCACATTGCCGTACTCTACTGCATCAATGGTGAATCCACCTTCCCCCACAACTCCATGAGAACTTGATTGTGCATCGGGCATGAGGATTGAAAGTCCATCCCAAAGAGAATTGTCGCTGTAGTTATTCCCAATATCAAACAGATACTCATCATTCCCAGTTCTTTCTTCAGCTTCCTTCTCTTCCAGGAGCTCTCCTATATACTCACATATAAAACTTCCCGAAGGAATGGAATTTAGGGATCTCACTCCCCAACCCCTCGATTCAGTTTTGAAGATTTCAAGCTGAAATTTGATACCACGCTGACTAACTCTATTGTAACAAGAAGGAGGACACTTACAAGAAGGACCACACTCATACACAAGGGACTTTGCTTCAACAATAGCACCATTGAAGTTATATGGGATCTCACCTCCGTTCTCAACTGCACAAGAACATTTCTCAGAATCTGAGCATTCAACAATACAGGTACAACCCTTGGGAGGAACTGGGCGGCACCAATCTGGATATATCATGCTAGTTATGTATACAAATGTTGGAGGTTTCTCATCATCTATGGTATTCACAGCACAGACAGGAATGGACTCTTTCCCTCCTGAAATATCATCAATGCATAGACCTTCCCGTACTTTATATTTTTTGGACTTCTTCACTTCTTTCCAAGCAAGCTCTGGTTGATCTCGGACTCTGTCAAGTTGAAACTTGAAAACAAGCTTACCATGAGACCCCATATCCTGCCAACATTTCTCTACCAAATATAGTCCATCATAAACATATGTCTTACTTCTTCCATCTTCAGAGCCACGGATCACTCTAACAGGATTTTTTTCATCCAGACTATTCTTTAAAGCAAGGTTTCCCCGTTCAAGCTTCTGATCTTCAGGTTCCTTATCAGTATTCATCACATTTCCTCCTTGGCCTGTATAAATCAAGGAACTTGAATTATCCAAATCATCTGCATAGCCACCAGATGCAACGATACTGGTTGCAAGGATCTTCCCACCATGCTTTACATAATCTATACCACCCTGAATCTGGCGATGAAGGCCAACAATAGTAAGTTCCACTCTGTAATGAAACTCATCGCCAACTTCAACTCCCGGCACAGTTCCCAAGATTTGTTTGCCCGTATTTACATATTTTCCTTTATCCTTGAGGATCTTTGCAGCTGAATAATCAACCCTTTTGCGAGGAACTCCTCCTTCCTTTGACTTACCCTCTTCCTCCCGCAAGAGCTTCCTACAGAGAGCTTGGAACAGACGCAATGTCTCCCTCACCGTGTTTCGGGTATTATCACGAACTTTGCTAGTTGAACTACTAGTACCAAAAGGAGGAGGACATACATCAGAACAACCTGATCTTGGACTCACATAAAAGTCTTCTTTCTGGTCAAGCTCAAGAGAATACTCCTTCTTGTCCCAGACAACAAGCTGACGTGTACCTTCATAAGCACTCATTTGTGATATAGGAAGAATATTCTTTGGAGACTTTCCTCCAATGTCCGAGTCATCTTTTTTCCTGGAAATAGCCTTAGACCTTTCTATCTGACATTTCACATCAAGCTTCTTTCGTTTTCTTTCGCTACTTCCACCTTCTAGTTTATGTAGGTCAACCACTTTTCCCATCCTCCATGGACAGTTTGACGCAGTCATCAAACCCATTACAACCGCTTTTTCCGACGTAATTTCCGATCTTACAAAATCTTCTTCGTGCAATTGATTATGATAATAAGGTTTACCTAAGTCTGTCTCGCTTGGACTTTCCTTTCCATGGTATACCACCATCTCCATCCCCACTTTCTCCTCTGAATGTTCAACACTCCCCGTGCCTTGGAATATATAGCGTCCTTGAGAAAGTTCATGGTAAATTTTTTTAGCATCTTCTGAAACCACGTTCATCTCATAATTTACATCATGGTGCCTTTCCAATTCTTGTACAGCATGTCCCTTGCTTTTTGGTTGAACCTTGTCCCCAATTAGTAGAGAAATATCCCCTCCATTTTCACTCTTGTGAAACTCTCTATCTTGAACATCCTCACCTGTTTGTCTCACAGTAGTCTTCGCTGTGTTCAATGATGATGGTTCGCCATCCATAGCGGACCTCTCTTGACCAAAATTCCTCGCCTCCAGGGCAGGGTTTCTTCCACAAAGAGGAGGGAAGTCCCGAATGGCTGATACTACTCTTCGAGGAGGATATTTTTTAACTGCAGTCTTCTCCAGACCATTTCCACTAGAAATGGAGATGGATCCATTGGGTGGTGAATCAGGCATAACAGAAGACATATCTTCATTTGGTGTAGCCACACCAAGCTGAAGTGGGTCCTTCAACGAATCAGATATTTCATTCAGCAATGCATTTAAATCCACTGTCCACAGTACCAAAAGCCTTACCATTAGTCAATGCAGTCTCATTGATCGAACCAGCAGGTACCATTCGCACTTCAATCCCTTGTTCATCATCGTCGTTACCCCCGCTAATCAAAGCCTCAGCAGCAACAACAGAAGCTGCCTCTTCAACCGGTCTCCAATTGTTTAACCCATGTTGGTCATTTGGCAAATCAGAAATTTCATGCTCTAAGGTTGCCACTGATTCAATTCTCTCCACAGTACCCACATCCTTACCATTCATCAAGTCAGTCTCATCCACATGAACATTTGAGCGCCCGAGCTTGTCAACCCCACGTGCATCGCCATTTTCACCCCTACTAACCAAATTTTCTGTTGGTACACTGTCAAAATTTCCCCCAGAAGCAGCCCCTTCATGTCGTCTCAAATTTTCCCTTAACTGACCAAACCGTCCGCACCCCAGGGGAAAATCACGGACCGCAGAGACTGTACGCCTCTTTAAGTTAGGAGCACGGAAAGAGCACTCTCCATTTTCCATGGATCGTCCCAATCTCCCCTCAGAATGACTACCATTAAGTGAAGCAATTCGCCTCGAAGATTCCGAATGTTGCATCGCTTCAACGACCCCCATTCCAATTCCAAATCAAACTAAAATGTATCAATAATTGCTCAAAAACCTAAAATTCATAGTAAATTCATTACAACCACAATTATTCGCAACGGTCGAATCTAACAATAAAACCAATTTAGGAACAGCTACAGATCTCAAAATCCACAGTAATTAAGAATAACAGCGATTAATTATATACTAATTAATCTCAAAGTCTAAACAAACAACGATTTAAAGTAGAAACAGAGAAAATGAACGAAGAAAAACTTACTAGTCAACGGATAATCCGGCTTAGCAGTCGGACGATTGCAGGACAAGTGCGATTTTGAGAGATTTGAGAAGAGAATTAGGGTTTCGGGGAAGTGATTTGGGGAGTGTTTGGCACACGCTGCAAGCTTAGCGCGCGCGTCAGCGGCGATCTCGCGAAATGACGCGATGTGCGCAAGGAAGAACGACCCCAACGATTTATTTTCCTTTCGCGGAACGCGGCGTTTTGGCTCAAAGGTGTTTTAGGGGACGGTTCGTCTCTCAACAAGTGACATGGCGTTCATTCAATGGCGTGAGAGCACTATGTACTTTATTAGTACTTGACACACTAGAACAACAATAGAGTGTTACTGGCACATCATCACGTAACGTTATATAACGCATTCATAAAATTTCATAAAGGTTTAATACCTTGTGAAATAAGCCTTGATGAGTAATGAATGAACATATGAAAGGGATGTAGAACTCTAAAAATGACTTAGGGGTTTATATAGTGCTTGCATTGGGGTCTTTGGAGAAGTTGTGAGCATTAATTATAGGTGTAACTTGAGAATCAAGAAGAGAATCCACTAAAAGATTACGTTGATTCCATTTAAAATTTAAGCTTGATTTGGAGGCAGTTTAAGAATACGACTAAATCTCAATTGTATTCAGACGATAAATTCTTTTCTTAAGGGCTAAGTTTCATCTGCAGATATTACACCAAGGTGAGCATTTTGAAACCTAGAGGCAGTTTCCATTCGTAGCATAGATCAAAGTCAGGCACTCTAGTAGGACTCTTAGTATTAACCGCGATGATTCGTCAGAAAATGGGATGATAGCTACTTTTTCTGCATAACAGGATTATTAGTTACTCATTGGATGTATTTGAGGCATTTACCATAGATTGGTGTATTAGTCTGTGAATTTCTTCTTCAAAAGAAATATTTCCAGGGTAGAGTGGCGACGCTGCTGAGTAAATGTGTATGAGTTCGACGCTCAGGCCATTCGGCTTCCCTGCAGCAATGCAAGTAAGCAAGAAGCTAATTGACAGGATGCAAATAACATGATGAACTGCTGTCCCTTCCATTTGACCAGTTCTTCTTCCTTTCTTCTTTCCGGTTAAATTTTGAACATGCCAAATTTTTATTTTTTTTTAAAAGAGGATAACTGGTGACAAGTTATGATTATCCACTATTTTCGGAGGCCGGAAAAACTCATAAAGACGTTTTAGCCTTCCCCTAATCACAAATTTGGCTATGCTAAATTGGTTCGTCAAATTTCTATAAGAACTCATGTATTTGACATAATGCATGTCTTCTCATCTCATGTGCAGTGAGGGAAAAGACGAACCGTTTTACCATGCATGTATTGAGCCATTGAAAATCTTTCAATTGATGTTGAAAATTATTACTATACTAATTATTGATTAAAAATGAGAAACACACACCTTTTTTCTTTTCTTACACATTCCTGTTTAATTTTGTCCATTGTTATCATTTGATTTTGTAGAAAAGCTTTGTACTGATCGTGAAAATTATTACTATCCTAATTATTGATTAAAAAATGATAAACGCAATCATTTTTTCTTCTCTACAAAATCCTGTTTAATTTTGTCATTGGTTTTGATTAGATTGGCTGAAATAAAGCGGGTGTGTAATAAACTAAAGGGGAGCGTGAAAATTACTTTCCTTTAGAAATTCTCTATGCACAGCGCTTGTTTGTATTATTTAATATTGATAGTGTATCACTAACACGTCGATAGATTTATCATTTATGATTATCTATACGACGTCGAATTAGGGAATTTAACAAAAATGGATGTCATGTTCAGAGAAGAACTTAATGAAGTACAATTTCATCTGCTATCTTCCGTTTTAAGTATTGTGAACTACACACATTAGACAAAAAATTATGTAAACTAATTTATGTACTCATTTTATTTCTACAACCTTGTGTTTATCAAGTGCAAAAAGTAGCGGAAAAATACTTCTCAAGATAAAACGAACATTTTTCGCTCTTTTTCTCTTCTGCACGCTCCTGTTTATGGAGTGAAAAAAGTTGGGGGAAAACACTTTCACAAGGTAAAACAAACATTTTTATAGCATCAAATTACTAGAAAAAAAAAGAAAGAAAAAAAAAACAGTTTTAAAAAGAATTTAAGCTGGAAAGCAACCTAATTAATAGAAAAGTAAACAATTTGGGAATTGCCAAAGAATATGCTGACCTAGATTTATCCGCATATACTCTCCAATTCATTCCCAAAACGATAACCTCCACAGCGCCCGTCACCAAACAGCAACTTTCCTTCGCCACAAAGGCACACCCGGGACACATCCAGAACCTCCAAATCGCCACGTGTCACTTCCAAACCCAACAGCCAATCCCTCACACGTGTACGCGCGACCCGTCGCGAAAGTCTCTAACTGCACGGTGCGGGTTGTGTTCCTTATTAAACCTCCACGCCCCGAACTTTCCTTCACGTTCCCGCAAAGAATCCCGGCAGCCAAACACTCGATAACGATCTTAATCTGAGCAAATCGGAGAAGACGAAGATGTGGAATCAGGCGTTTCGGAAGAGTGATCCGGAGGCCGGAGCGAGGCTGCTCTACCCTGTGATGCTCGAGAGCCCCGAGCTCCGGTGGTCCTTCATCCGCAAAATCTACGCGATCGTTGCCATCCAATTACTCGCCACCATCGCTGTAGGCGCCGTCGTCGTTTCGGTCCGGCCGGTGGCTAACTTCTTTGTCAGCACCGGCGCCGGCCTGGCGCTCTACATCGTTCTCATCATCACGCCTTTCATCGGTACGCTTCAAATTTCTGTGAAATTTTGATTTTTTTGGGGGATTTCTGTGAGTTTGTTGTGAAATTTAGGGTTTTTTTATTTGTTTTTTGGTTTGCAGTGCTGTGCCCACTGTACTATTACCACCAGAAGCATCCGGTTAATTATCTTTTACTGGGAATTTTTACCATCTCACTGGCATTTGTCGTTGGTTTGACCTGTGCATTTACTAGCGGTGAGTGCTCATGAACTTTCCTCTATCATTTTTTTTTTGGGTATTTTTGTGATGTAAATAATTAATTTTGATAATTTGATGTAATTAGGGAGTCTTAACCCTCTTGTTCTTGTGATTTATGGAGTTTTTTAAATCTAAAAAGGGAAAATGCTTGATGGAGTTAGACTGCATTTTTGCTCACCATCTTAAATTAATGGCAACGCTCATCACCTTATTAATTACCGTTAGATAAGTTTAATTTTCGAAGTCCGTAGGGTTGATAGAAAATCAGACGGTAATCAATGGGCAGTGAGCATCACCTTCACTTAGGGCGGTAGGCCACAATATTTTCTCAAATTATATCCGTAAAATCATCAAATTAATCATGTTAGTAGTCACTTTTTAGGTTTGTAAGTTATCTGTGTGGTCTCTATCCCTTTTTGTTGTCTCCTTTGATAACCAATTGGATGACATTGTGAAATCATGTAACTTGTTGAACTGAAAACAGGGAAGGTGATTTTGGAGTCGGTTATTCTGACGGCAGTGGTCGTAATTGGTTTGACCTTGTACACATTTTGGGCTGCAAGGAGAGGCCAAGATTTCCACTTTCTTGGTCCTTTCTTGTCCGGAGCTCTACTGGTTCTGATCGTATTTGCTCTGATTCAGGTATGTGTTGCGTTATTTGATTGAACGAACAAACTCCCTGTTGTGTCTGTGTTGTTGTTTTTGCGTTTTTAAGCTTTGGGTTTGTTCGTATATTCTTTTGATTGCAGGTTTTCTTCCCGCTTGGTAAGATCTCGGTGATGATATATGGTTGCTTGGCGTCGATTATATTTTGTGGGTACATTGTGTATGACACGGACAACTTGATCAAGCGATACTCTTACGACGAGTACATTTGGGCTGCAGTTTCCTTGTATTTGGATATCATCAACCTCTTCCTAGCTCTTCTCACCGTTTTTAGGGCGTCCGACTGAGAAGATATTCTTGATTGGTTCGTCTCTTTTGTTCCCCCAAATGCGATTACATATTGTCGTCGTTATGGTTTAGGATTAATTGTGAATGTCATAAACAACTAAACTCTCTTATAATACACTGATTAATAGTTGATGCTCATGGAAGATTTTTGTGTATTGTAGCATGTAAATGTGTTTCGTTGGTTCATTATCCCATGGTAGGAGATTTCTGTTTGTCAATAGTTGCTTGGGGTTTCAACTCTCCAGATCTCGCAATCGGGAGCCGACGGATCCCGTAATTCGAACTATTCAAGAGAGGGGGAGAGACATGAGGACCTTTGGTTTTTGTGAGGTGGTTTAGCAGGGTGGACAAATGAGGCTTGTAAGATTTGAAATGAGTGGTTTGGATTATTCTGTCCATTTTTCGGACTCGTGATCTGAAGACTATCTTGATTCCAAAGTCCCATTGGACCTGGTTAGTGGAGCCCGAAGGGGCCTCACTTTGCTCCTTTTCTGCCTTTCTGTTCCATCATCTCCTATTTTGGGGATCACAAGACAGTGCTACTTCTGAAAGTCCTCTAAGTGTAATGAAGTCAAAAGTGTAGAATGACCAGGAGGCGCACTAGTTTGGGGCGCCTAAATCTGAAACTTAGTGCAACTGTGTGTGATCACGTCATCATCGAAAAGCGTTCTCTTCGGATCTTTTTCTCTTAATTCATCAAGTTTGAGGATCCAGGCCATTGAAATTTAATATAATGGTTAAAGTTATTATAACTTTTAAAGTAGATTTTTGTTTGTAGCCGTTTGATCAAGTTTCAATGGTCCGTATCTCCAGACTTGGTGGATTAGGAGAAAAGGATCCTGAACGGATCCCTTTCCGTCATCATCCGGAGTCCCTACTTTGGTCCAGGAACACTTGTGTAGGTGTATTTGACCAGATAATGCGCCTGATTTTGTTTGAAAATTAGAGAATTGCACTTGCATTGAATGACGTGGTTTACTGATGGGTTAATTTTTGACCGTCGGGTTTAATGTTTAGTATGAATAACTATTTAATCATCAGAGGTGATTTTAAATTGGTCCAATTTCTTAAAATATTTCAAATAGGTATGAAAAATATATATTTATTATGTCACAGGTGTTAAGTGATGCCGTCGCTATCGTTAGTTGATGATATTTTCAATGTTAAGTGATTGGTATAGACAAAATTAAAAGCTAACTTTTATTAAAACATCATTTCGGAGTTTTGAATTCATTGATGTCTTTTAACCAAGTTAAACGTTAACTTTGTCCAGTTAAACTAGCCCGGTCTAGGGTTCCATTTAACACTGGTGATTTAACGAATATTTTTTAAAATGTTAGGTAATTGAAATAGGGATGTGATATCCACACATCCGTTTTTACTTCTTTCATACCTTTTTAGTTTTCGTCCGTCTGATAGGATGAAATGAAGAATATCAACAGACATAAATTAACAAGAGATGTGTGAGAAGTAAAAAGAGGTGTGTGGATAGTACACCCCTTGAAATATTTTAAAAGATTGAGACAAGTTTATAATTACCTCTAAAAATTGAATAATTATATGAACTTAATAACCCTTAAGTACTCCAACCGTTTTACAGTTTTTCGGGTCAAATGGCCTTAGATCAACCCTTTACTCGATCCAATAGGATATGTATGTCCGATTTTATGTTTGATCTTTCATTCGATCCTACAACTACAATTTTAAGAGAAAAGAAATAAGAAAGATTTAAAATTAAAGTGACGACATGCATTATCAACGCTACAAATTAGTGTAACAACTACAATTTTAAGAGAAAAGAAATAAGAAAGATTTAAAATTAAAGTGACGACATGCATTATCAACGCTACAAATTAGTGTAACTTACAGTGGCAAAGCCAGCATGGGAGTTGCCTTAACCTCAACAACTTCAAAAATTCATGTATATTTGTTTGTATATTGTGTTTGATCCTTGTAAACAACTAAGCCAAATTAGATTACGACATCCTTCTCCTACTTCTTCTATTTTAGCTATCACATTTGTCTTACTTTTCTCTCTTTTTCTGTGCGACTCTATTGTGAGCATCATGTGCTCGATAAAATACGCTTGACAAGTCTTGATATTCTTCAATATTACTCCACAGTATCATGAATTCACTATCGACAAGCCTCTACAAATAATAATATTTGATATATGTTGGCATAAGTTTTCAATATATGTTGACAGGAATTGGCAGGTGCATACTACTCAACTAACTGACCCAATCAAACTTTTTTTGTTGATATTATGACCCTATTATTTAAAAATCCTGACTCCACAACAGGTGGCGTGTACCATCTTATACATGTTCCACACTTAACTCGACTCAAAGGTATTTGGGTCTTAATTTTTCACATGCCCAAAGTGAGACCATTGAGCGTGACGAGCTCGGACCAAAATAGTATGACTCGTTAATGCCAGTTGTTTTAGACATTTGCCCTTTAAAACCTACCACCGTTTTCAATTTTTGCTTTCTGGGGCAAGCTTGGTAAATTTTATCACAAAATTCTACGATACTCTGAAGTATCCTATGTTAAGAGTTTTTCAACTGTTAAATTTTGGTTTTTGTGATTTTTACTAAAGATTTAACAATTCAAAAACCCTAAGAATCAAATGCTACAAAATACCATTGAAAATTCCATTGTGACAGTACATACTAAAACTAACTACTATATATATATTATTCCTAAAGCAGGTCATGTCCTTTGAAATTTCCGAATTCAAAAGTGAAGTGCTTTTGTTCAGGACCTCCCCTCTACACTACATGTGCCTAACACCTCCTTTTTTAATACCAACAGTCTGCCAAAATCCAAAAACAACAGCATCTATGTCATGCGATTCGTTAGACATAATGCAGAGACCTAATCAGTGCCTGTTCTTTCTCTCAGCGACAACGGAAAGCAGCCTTGAAACGCCGTGAGTCCAGACGTCATGTTCTCTCTGGTTCTTGCACTCGAACTCAACGATGCCTCGTGCTTCCGTCTTCAGCCCAAAGTAACGACGCTGCTCTCCGTCGTCGAACAAGTGTCTCCCGGGCCATGCCGGCATGTTCTTGCACACGTCCAACACAACATCTGCTCACCCAAAACCAACGTTAAGTTAAAATCCTTGTACATTGTTTCACATTGAATACAAGTACAGAAGAGAACAGGGTTTACTCTTTTTCTTCTTGGTGAAAGTTCCTGCGACGTGTTTGCTTTTCATTTTCAGCATCACCTATAAAATTTCACAGTACGATTAATGATAAGAAGTGACGTCTATAGGACAGATTTTGATTAGGTTAATTACGGTCAAGTTTATAGACGACATATTGACAACCATTTGACAACATTAAGGACGTTTTATATCATTTGACCGATTGGATTGACTTTGATAACATGATGAAACTACAACGATGAAAGTGAAAATCTAGGTAACGACTGTTAGTACGGTTCATCTCAATATCAAATATGATGGACGACGTATCTGCGTTTTAAAAAAATGCAGTTAACCGCGGAGACTCACCTGCCCGGTTCGGTGAATGTAAACAGACACTAGTTTCCAGTGGAGATCGCCTGCAAAATGCAAACCATATAGTTCAAATTAGATCAAGTTTAGGTACTATACTCTTTGTTTTTTTATTTTGTTTTAATTGAAAATACCTTTTCGTGTGCGTTTGAGGAGTTCACTGCCCCTAGCAAGGAGGTCTTGGTTCGAGACCCCAAGAAAAGTAGGGTCAACAGGAACATGATCGTCACTAAAGCTGCTGCTGCTGCTGCGATCACCACCGTTGCTGTTGGTTTTACCACCGCAGACTCCCATTCCCATTCCCTTTTCCACTGGAATCACTGCTGATATGTTCCACACCTCCTTCATTGCCCTTGCCTTTAGGGTCGCTGCCCCTCGTAAAGCTGCCATATCACAACATAGACACAGATTTTTTTAAAGTTAAAACATTATTATACTCTAATTTGTTATTTAGAGATTGTTTTAAATCTTAAAAAAGATGTTTGTACGACATTTACTGCCTAGCAAGGTAAGCAACTCAATTAGAGATTGCTACTTAGAAACACAAAACTGACCGCGTTGTTCTATTAAAGAATGCATCAGTAATGTGATCAAGTTTATATGTCCAAAAAGTTTAATTGCGTGGGATTTTCAATGTGAGAAAATATGTTATGTCACAGTGATATTGTGTCTACTTAATAAACGTGACTAGATCACATGATTAGTCATGTAAACTTTAAGGGATTTATTTCTGATCATAAGATTGATTCTCTCCAACAATATAGTCAGTAACTATGAAACAAATAACAACACTCTAGAAAAGACGATATTTTTAAGGCCATCCCATATGAACGTTACATCAATTATTTATGTGCCACTTACTAATGAACGCATCAGTTGGTTGACCAATGTGATAAAATAAATGGAACATCTTTAGCAAAATTTGACAAGATTATTTTGTGGAGTAATTTATGAGCTAAGAAGCATCGGTACCTGTCGCAGCAGCTGCAGTGAGGGTGGTAATATCATCATGTGAATGAACATTAACGGCGGAGCTGACTACTGAAGTAAGATGGTCATGTTCAGCTCCCATAGCTTCCGCAGCCTCAGCACATTGAGCAGCTACCAACGTGGCGGCAGACGCCACTGCCATGTCAGTCTTCCCTGCTTGATCGTTCTTTCTCGACCCCGAAGAAGCCGCTGTGGCTGCAGCAATGGCGGCCACTGCAGCAGCCACCGCAGCAACTGAAACCGCCGCATGGACCTGCGCGTTGTGCACTCTCGTCTCTTCCTTTTTCTTCTCTTTTCTCTCTTTCAACCACCTCCCCACCGTCTTGGCTCCGCCGCTGGGGGCAGTGTTGCCATTTCCAGCGCTGCTCCGGCTGCCGTTGAATAGGTTTTGTATGCTGTTGTGGGTTCGAAAATACTGCGTGCCACAATACAAGTCCATCAAAAGAAAGAACAACAAAAAAGTCACCACAAAGACAGAAAGTCTAATTTTTCGACCAAAACACGAGTTTTATTCACCTTTTTTGTATTTTCAATTTCATAAAATTTGTGTCTCTTCTCACCATCTCCATTAATTAATTTAAAAACAACAAAAAAAATTGGGACCAATTTGTTTTTATATTAAATAGTATATAATATCAAAATTTATAGTGCATTCTCCACTATCATTTCTTTTTCGTGCAAAAAAAATATTGTGAAATAAGATATTTCACTCTTCAAATTGCCACGTAAATTAACAAACTTACATTTGAAATATCACATTTATAAAGACTGTCGGAGAAACTCTAAAACAATTTTTTGGGACAATTATTTAATTTATTTTGGTGAAGGGTGCTAGGTTTGCTTACAAAGAGGTGAGAAACCAAAATAAGCAAAGTTGTAGAGAAGCATGACATGGCACGGGGCTGTGGTTACCATTTTAAGCATCTGACTTGCTCAATTTTACACTCCACCCATCTACTCTCTTAATCCTTGTGCCCAAGGAACAGCCTGGCCTAGTGCCCAATTTTGTTTATTCCCATTTTGGGCGGTATTATGTACACACTATTTCTTATTTTCGATCGTCAGATCGAATAAGTTAAAGAAGATTAAAGAATAAAAATTAACAAAGTGTATTGGAGATATAAAACGAGTGTGTAGACAGCACAATCCTTTTTGTTTTGATAAAATAAATTTTTATTGTGTGTATAGAATCCATATATTACAGCAGCAAATTTAGATTAAATCACACAATAATTCAGTTACATAGCTATCGATCTTGTTAATTTGAATCGTAATTTAAAACCGTACACTTACTAACGATCATATTCGACTATTCAACTCGTGAACTCGAGTCGAATTTAAAACGTTGCCCTTGCCGGTAGAGAAGAATAGTAAAGAACCCTAATGCTACTATACTCTCTGTTATTTTTTGTTGGAGTGTACTATCCAAACACTTCTTTTTACTTCTCACACATCCTTGTTAATTTATGTTCGTTGATCTTCTTCAATTCATCAATCCGACGGTCAAAAATTAAAAAAATGTGGGAGAAGCAAAAACTGATGTGTGATTTTTTGTTTTGACTTGAAGAAAATGAACAAGGATTGTCTGCCCTCCTTGTTCCCGTACTTTCCTGTTTTGTGTGGTCACGGTTAAGCCATGTTAACATTTTATATTATTTTTTATAGAGAATAAGACAAAAATAAATAATAATATAAAATATTAACGTGATTTAATCGTGACCACACAAACAGAAAAGCATAAAAGGGCACGCGAACAAGAAGGGTAGACAATCCTTGTCCGAAGAAAATAAGGCCTGGTTGATAAGACTCCATGGCCAGATTTTTAAGGAAATAAAAAAGGTTTCTTGTCTTGAAAGGGGAGAAAGGAGAAAAGGAGAAAAAGCATCTACTGTAGTTTTCTGCACTAATCAATATATTTTTAATAAAATAAAATAAATATAAAAACAAATGATTAATCAATTACTGAGTGGAAAGGACAAAGATATCATCAGATGGTGTGTGTGTGACAGGAAAACAGAGAAAGCTGAGTGACATTGTCACATTTGGTCTCCTGGTTTGCCTTCTTGGACAAGAATTCTGGAATTTTGTTTAAATAAAATAAGAGTCTAAACAAACAGATGAGGGAGAAAGAATGACCTTAACGACGTCGTCGAACTCATCAGAGGGTGAGACTGGAGGGCTATCCATCTCTGTTAGAGAACCACCATTGTTCAGAGGTCCACTGCTGTGTGAGAGCCTCCCTGATGTCAATGGAGACACTTCCTGTAAAACCCCCAAAAAAAATTTAAGACCAAAAGAGTAATTTGAAAACAAGAAAATTGAAGATTGTGAACAGAGAAAAACTCCTCGAAATTTCATTGTGACGATATTCCAAATTAGTTAATAACGTAATATCAAGTGTCCAGCTTGAAATATCGCCAAAATTACATTCCTGTTGTAGGTTCGAGAAGCTACCGTGACAATGTTTCAAGCCAACAACGCAATGTTATGTGTCTGGCTTGGAATACCATCACAACTGCATTCCCGTTGTAGTTAGGTTTCTTTCGAGTGAATGAAACACGCACCTCTCTCATGGACTGTGACATAATGCGATCAAGGACGAGCTGGGAGGTGACAGAGGAAGCAAAGTAAAATTGGTTTCCGGGGAGGGACGGCAGCTCCTCTGCTTCTCCTGCGATGTCTTCAGGAATGGAAGGAGTGGTGGTGGTTGCGGTGGTGGTGCAAGAGGAAGAGCTGTTTGAGGACTTGGAATTAGCCATGCATGAAGGAGGAGGAGGAGGCAGCGGAGGAGGGTGAGACTGAGACAGAGCTTTGGAGACTTCAAGAGCGGAGGCACTCCATGACCTTGAGAGAAACTCCATTGGAACTCTTGGGCTTTTGGGGAGGTGGTCTCGGTGGTTGACGGGGCTTTGGTCAGTCCGGCGAGTGGTTAACATTGGTAGTGTTTCTTCCATGGAAGTGGAAATGTTGTGGAGGGAGAGAGAGAGAGAGAGTGAGAGTGAGAGTGAGAGAGAGAGGTGGGTTTGAATTTGTTAAAGGGGTTTGTGGGTTTTGGGATCAAGATATGGACACATATATATACACACACTTTTATGTCTATTTGGTCATTCATTAATGATCATTATATCGATGTGCTATTTGGTAAAGGGGTTTGTGGATTTTTGGGTTTTGGGATCAAGATGTGGACACAATATAAATACAGTCATTTGGTATAATCGATTCACATGTTATAATGTTGTTATGTTTATCTATTTGTTGGATTTTTTGATACATCTTATAACAAAAGTATAGATGAATTATTCATGTAAAATAAGTGAAAAATATGACAAATCAGTGAACATAGTAACTCTTGTTATAATATGAATAGACAACAATTTATCTTATAAAATATAATAATAACAGCGAACAAGTTCATACTTTTTTAGTAAATTTTGTAAAGGATTAGGCAAGATTAATTATTTGTCAATGTGCTAGACATCAACCGTCCCTCGATGAAAAAAGGACTGTTGCACGCAAAAACCCCCACATGTCCCTCCTATATTGGATTTTATTAACAATATAAAGAAAAAATAAAAATAAAACAAGCGGCGAATCTAAGCTAATACCCGCTCAAAACAATTAACAAAAACAATATGTTCTAGTTCAAGAATTCTTATTCATTTTATAGCACAAATAAATTAATTATATCACGCATCCAAATAGTATACACTAAAACATCTTAGAAAAGAGATAATTTATTGGATATGGTCTTTGGTCAAATTGGATGCGGTAGAAGTACTTTTGAGGTGCCACATGGAAAGATGAATATTGAAGTCTAGCTTTATTTGTAGCTTATGATGGTGTGAAAGATTAGTGGAATAAATAGCAATTTTGTAAGCAATAGATTTGTACAAAAAGAGGTTTTAGGGATGCTTTTAGCCCCCCCCCTCTAGTGTGGTCCTACTTTGATCATGTGACTAATCATCTTTCTTCAAAGGAGCTTTTGATAAAGGAACAAAATGATAGGAAAGTTACTCGACCACTTCACTCTTGAGTCTTCACACACACCCCCAACAACACCAAAACAAAAGTGATCAACACCATTTTTCATACTAATCTCTTTGTTTTTCTTCCCCTTTAGATTTTTTAGCCAAGTTTATTGAACATTGATCAACAATATAATTCAAAATAAACTGCGTGTTAGGATTAGTTGTGCAAGCATGTGCAGGCTAATCTTGACTATTTATACTTGTGAGACTTATAAAACACGATACATGTTCGCTTGCGTGCAAACTAACCAAATCACTCTCATCTAACAATACTTACATGTGCTTGTGTGTGAATCATGATTGTTCATCTTTGTGAAACCCACAAAACAAAAACGGCCAGATTAGCTCATGCACGTCAGGACTAAGCATACCACTCCACTTATTTATAATGTTTAGGAGGAATTTGCAAGCTTTATGTGGTCATATAGGCACAGTTGTTGATGTATATTGAGACGAAGATAGTCCTAGGACCATTTGGAGTCCAAGAATTAGACATATGGGGATCACCGTTCTCTTCTATGTGGCCACCAAAGTGTGTGACAAAAAGCCTCTTGTCGGTTGTGTCGACAACACTTGACAAATTCTGTTAGCAGCACTTATCATATTGGTTTGGCATATGTCAATATATATTGATATGTGCGCAGCTTGGTTCAGCTAACAACAACAAGCCATAAACTGATTTTTTTTTTTTTTTTTTTTACGTACTTTGTTATATGTTTCTATCTAAAAACTTGAACTTTTAACACTGAAATCTTCCAAATTTTAAATATTAAATTCGCCACTACATAGTCACATAATAAGAATCAGTAAGATGTCAGAATTGGCTAGAATACTTGACTGGTGGTGACCTAAGTGATTGTGTTCCTTAAGCCAAACGTCTTGGCAATGTCCGAGCCCGACATGTTTGGGGGTCAAGACAAATTCTCAATGGAACCATTTTTTTTTCTCTATACTGTTCCGAGACACAAAGCTGTTCACTGGAGAGGGACCTATGCTAAAATGCGCGTGCCTGCACACGTCATCATCTATAACTTTGGCTTTTGTACATGAATAAATACACCCTTTTCATAAATAAAAAAATCTGACAAAAAAAAAAGGATCGAAAGGAAGAAGAGAAGCAGCCTTTTTGTTCAAACTGTAAGGCTTTTCTTTGTTTCTTAGCTCATGACTGTTGACTGGAGGGGACACCTTTTATTCCTTTTGCCTCATTTTCCCACGTAATTTCATGAATTCAAATAACTAATAATAGCACGTGAAAACGCAAGTTAGATCAGTTAGTTGAGATAATGTGTCTATTCTCTTACGCTCAAGTTTGAATCTCTTCTTCAAAGTTAGGTTACTTGATCAGAGCAATGTATCTGCTCACTTGCTTCTGAGTTCAAATGCGTCTGCACGTAAAATAGAGTAGTTTACTATGTCACATTGGTAAAAGGAAAAAAACAAACTCAATTTAGATGTGTGTTTCTCTATAGCTTTTGAACAAACACAGGGAGAACGGACCACAGTACCACCTTTGCCTAGTTGAAAGTTGCAACTATTCCATCAAGTTGTTTCTGTAGCCAGAGTCTGTAGAATAAGTAAACACAAGTTGATTAAGGCAAAACTAGAACAACCCCAAACTTATTACACGAAGCTAAGCATGTTATAACTTCAGTTAACCTCGAGTAGCCGGCTTAAAGTAGCTAAAGAGAAAGAGGCAATCAATCGCTCTCTTTCACTTGTAACAAATTCTCATGAGTTTAATAGTGTTCGGGCAAAGATTTCTCTGGAGGAGGATTCTCAGACCTCAGCATAGCTCCTCAAGGGATTGGCACTTTGGATATGTAGTCGGGCTCTTATTTCTTGATGTGCTACAAGAAAAGAACAAAGTTAGTTCTGGAATGTGCCTTTGTGGAGCCTTAGGTGTAGGCCTTAAGGCTCACAATCAAAACTAAGTGCAAGGCGTGCCACTGCTATCTCAGTATAGCAGATGTAGAATAAGTATGTTTTAAGTCGATTACTTGCACCCCAAGTTACTTAAACTTCTTGTTATCAAAGGATTGTTGTGGATGAGTTAAGTTTACATTAAGTTTTTTTTCTTACCTTTTAAACAAGGACTTTTAGTTCATAGTCTTGTATGTTCGAATAGAGGGAGTCCAGAGCCCCTTAAGTCATTTGTTTTATTCCAAATCACATTTAATGAAAACATATCGATCAAGTTAACCAGATCCAGATGCAAATGGACTTCTTAAAATAGAAAAACAGATGGAAATAAATTGAATACATACTGGAGAATGCATTAAGTAATAGATCTACGGATTTAGAAAACAAACAAAGAGCTTTGGGCAAGATTTCACCTTGTCTGGCAAGGTTGAACTTCTTGCAGTCACTTCTCTTTGAATTTACAAAGGTTGTATGCTAAAAAGGGATGGATGATAAACAAACTTACACAAGGGAATCGATACTAGGCCACTAAGGGATGTAGCAGAGCTTTTAAACTAGACAAAAGATGTCTTTTGTAGGGAACTATCCTTAAAAGGACGGAATCTGGGCTAAGTTCAACTTTAAGATGCAAATCTGGCTTGAGAGCAAAGTTTGTATGTTTGTTTGTTTGATTGGTTGAGTGTCTTTGTCCTCATTGTCTCTTCTTTCTTTTATAGGCAATGTAGCCCAACTGCTGTAACTTTTGCTCTTGCCTGAAAGCATTTGGAGGGTAGTAAGTCATCAACTTTCTTACTCGTAATATCACTGAAAAGTGTTCTTTGGCTGATGGTAGGTTAATCTCCATCACTTGTCACTTCGCTTATAGACACGTGGCTTGTGTCCCTTGGCTGAAAAGGTGTTAACTTGCTTATGGTCTCGATGCTAGGCTTCGGGCAAATCTCCTTTTAATTGGGCATCTTTGGGCTTTCCTTTACTTAAACTCAACGTTCAAATATTAACCCAAACAAATAGGTGGCAAGCATCGCATCTTTGCATATTCAACGATGCAAACAGCGTTGAAAAATCGCATTCTTGTTATGCAATTTGCTTGGTGCAGTCTTACAGCTTCATAATTCACCGGTATTGCATGAAAATCCTGAACTTGTTGAGTTTGCTGCAGCGAAAACAGCAGCTTGCTGCTAGTCTAAATCACAGGAAATAAAACACAAGTAAACATAAATTAAAAGTGAACAAAAGGACACCGGAATTTTGTGGAAAAAAAACCCTCGGATGTGAAGAGAAAAACCACAGGACAAAATCCAAAATACTTCCACTATTGAAATGGGATTACAAGCACCAATCTCTCTGAACTTTAGAGGCTGACTGAATCAAGAGCACTCACAAACTCTTGGATGAACTCGCTATTTTTCTGTTACTAACCCTCTGTAGAAGAGCTACAGGCTAACAACGTATAAATATTCATAATCAACTCCCTTCTAGAAAACTATGGAAGGAGATAGACAAAGCAATCAATATTAGACTGCAAACCAGATCCACCATAGTATTGCTTAGTGGTTTCGCGTGAGAAGTCTGCAAATATTATCCCATCTTTCAACCGCAATGCAAGAGGTGGTACAATTTTCTGTATTTCTTCGGTCATTTTATTTTGATCCGGATCATCAACCTGTTTGATCTCTGATGATGTCCCCATGTTCATGGGGTAGTCTGTTACCGAGAAAGTTTTGTTCCACGCCGGCTGCAAGAACACAACAAAAGTCTCTCTGCTCAAATTATCGAACTTGGAAGGCCTGCAAACAGACCGAAGGGTGGCGCGGAGCTTTCCTCTTGATATGATATCAGCCGACTCCACCACCTGAATTATAAAGCTCTCAGGAGAGGCCTTCACCATGAATGCATTATCCTTTCTGGGATCAAATATTTGCAAATAAGTATTCCATTCGGATAAGGACACTCTAGATCCCTTTCTCCTTTCGCTTGTCGATCATTCGACAAGCGAAAAATTGGAGCTGTCAAGACGGTGAAAATCCCATTATCATAATGCCATTGCTGCCACAGATTCTCAGAACAAATCCCCGAAACTTGTTTGCGTTTGTCACCAATCCAGTTCCTGCTAGAGTCGAAGGGTCTCTTCGATGTTCTTTTTGTGCTCATTGCTTCTTCAACAAGAATGGAACCATTAAACGGTGAATGATAATGAATGAGACTAGATTTCGCATACTCGAGCAAGTTTGAGGCCTAGCTCCATCATGAAAACCCCTAACTCTCTAAACCCATGTCCGAGATTCTCACTCATTCGTCGATCCGTGTTCTGAATTCAATTGGGGTTCATCAAAATCATTTGAATGTTTGATTTGCGTTGTGAAAGACGGCACATTTCTCTCAGGGTTCTTCAAACTTGAGACACATCACTCCCCCAAGTCGTGATCCTAAACAAACACTTAAAACAAGGAGAGGGTTTATATGACACGGTGTATCGCCACGGTAAAGTTGCATGCCAATGAAATAAAGATATTTATAAGTTTTTGTTCAAATATTTTTGTTTTATTGGCATGTAAAACTACATAATAGTGTATCCGTGTCATGTAAGTTATTCTCTATATGTAAGAGCAATTTTTATGTGACAAACATCATGACGTTTCGTACTAATAGTATTATATGGAGATTGGAGAGACTTAAACATTATAACAAGACTACGAAAATTTTATTAAAATCCAAGTGCTTCTTGAAAAGCACTTAAAAGTGATTCTCCAAAACTCGCTCATATAGATAAAACTTGCAAAAATACGAAAAGAAGAAAAAAAACCAACACAAACTAAAATTAAAAACCATTCAAAATTACAGTTTCCACTCACGTTGATATCTTCCTATGGCAACCTTCAGCACGAAGATATTACACAGCTACTCTTTTCAAATTCCAGAAATTCAAGACGTACGTAATTTACAAGATAAAGAAATCGCAACGCGAGAATGCGAACTAAGCCGTGGTTTCTTTGAAGCTCTTGGTCAACCAAATGGCTGTTTCCCTCGGAGAAACCTTCTCGGGTCCGAATGGCTTCAAGAGCACTCCAAGCTCTTCGAACCTTTCTTGTTGTAGAAGACGCGCGCTGAACTCAAGCAACCCTTCCAAAGCCTCTGCACGTTGCTGGAATGATGAGGTGTCGAATCGCTGCTGTCGTGACTCCGAAGATGAATGGCTCGAAACACCAGCGGTAGTTTTCTGCTCAGGAGATTCACTGCCATTTCGAGCAGGTCCATGGCTGCCATCAATTGTACTGGACTTGGAAATGGTTTTGTCTATAACCTGGATCATGCACTTGTCCTTTGTGATAGAATGGTTGATGCTATTCAGCTTGGTTGAAGGGCATCGTGCAGATGTTGATGAAATTCCACGGGTAGGAACGAGTGGCTCTTCAGAAGAGGCTAAGGGGAATTCAGCCATCTTGTCAATTCGCGGGGCATTGACAGAAACGTCTGGAGACTCCATAATCCCAAGGGGACCAACATTGGCTCTATATGGGGTTTGTGGAGCTGCAGTACTTGTCAAGAACGGAAGAGAAGCTCTTCGAGTTGACTGGGAAGATTTTCTGGCTGGAGAATGTGACACCGGAAGCTGCAATCATGCGAGTAACAAAGTAGTCAAAATCAATAAATAAACACACCGAGTTTATCCAATTCACTAATTTAGTAGTATGACTTACCGAATCACGTTTTGAGTTGACGTGAGAAATTCTTGACTCTGTAATGTGTTTCGTGGGAGTAGCAGAAACTTTTGCTGGTGCTGCTCGTGGACTATTAACAACATTGTACTTTGTGGACACCAACTTTCTGTTACCATAATCTTCCTTGGTACTTCCCATAGATACCTCGGTGAACTTACGACTTAAACACCCTGGAAAGTCCAGTGTCCGCACGCTAGAACTTGGAGAGCCCTGTTCAGTTCCAGAGATACTAGGATTTAAGGTCCTATCATTGCTGAATGATCGTCTTTTCTCTCTGCTGGTACGAACAGGACTAGTTTCTGGCTCCATGAATCGTGTTTTCCTCACATAACTGGACCGAGACCAGTCAACTGGGAAAGTATTCCGCCGAGGGATATTCACTTTTAGATGAATCTTAAGCACATAAGGCTGAAGATGGGGATGAGCAAGCACCTCTGCAGCCTGATAAACCATGGATAACGTCGTAAATAAATCCACGTAAATGGATGATTCATTTCTATAAATAAGTCTGTGTAACTCAACAAACATTCATGCAATGTACATCATACATGATCTACTAGTACATGTAAGAATCAAACAAACAAAAATGTATTCGGCAAAGAAACACAAATAAATAAACTTACACTTGGCCTAAGTTCTGGGTTCTTCCGCAGCATGCTTTTAACAAGACCTCGACTGCAAAAGAGAAGAAAACAGAGAATAGGGAAACCATACTGTCAATCAACACATTTGATTCATTGAAAACCATATGCAAACAAATATTCATTGAACAAACATCAAATTTTCCACCGACAACGTCTAAGCTCAACTCACAATAATATATACAAATGAAATTGCAACCATTAAAAGAACTTAAAACCCGGAGGCAACAGAAGAGGAAATAGACTCACAATGCACCAGAGTACAACGTTGGAAGTGGAGCCACTATTGACTTGTTTATTTTGTTAATCAGAGATTGTATATCCTGTACTCAGAACGAAATTCATAAGTTATCAAGGAAAAAGGTAAAGCTTGTAGTTCCATTCAACTCCTCAAGCCTTAGATAATTCTTGTTTAGTGCCAACATACCGCAAACAGGTAATACAAAGTTCAAAAAATTCCTAACCGAAAATTAGCAAACTTACAAAGGCTTTGAATGCAGGCCTGAACGCAGCCATTTCATATATACAGCATCCTGCAAGACACATTCTATTTATATGTGTGTGTGGCTAAAAAATCGAGGACGAAAAAATTAATGGGTTTGGGTGGAGGTTAAGAGGAGGGAAAACTTACCTAAAGACCATATATCTGACTTAGAACCATAAGGTATGTCAGCAAGAAGCTCAGGGCACATATAACTGGGAGTTCCGACTACCTGAACATGGAGCAGACATACCAGATCACACATAGGCCAGGGTGTAAAACTTCAAACTATATGCGTCGGCTGAAGTACTTACAGAGGAAGCTAGATCGTCCGAAGTTAACATTTTCGCGAGACCAAAGTCACCTAGATACATTATTATTGTAAATTCAGGATACAATTATCAAGGGCGAACTCAAAAATGTGAAACCGAACTTGAGTGAATCAGCAATGAAGGAACTATAGCTTACCCAGACGTATGTCTTGATCTTTTGTCAAAAATATATTTGAACACTGAAGTAGAAGAACACAGTCAGAGAAAACTCCGGAATTTCAAACGTGCAACACTAAACAAATCGCTCCTTTAACTTGCCACTGACCTTGACATCACGGTGAAGAATATGGTTTGCATGCAAGTAATCAAGTGCCATCAACAGTTGAACTAGCCATTGGCAGAGTTTCTGTTCATTTCCAAATTGCAAGTAAGAAACATAAATTATTGGGAGTATCACACACTTTGATCAAACGCCTAGGATACAATTTGGAAACTTATAAAACCAAGTGGAAAGTTCGCTGGAAGAATAACAACCTCTTCTGAGAAATGAACACCACGGGCTCTTTTTATGGCTTCCATCCTGTTCAGCAAGAGGCATTAACATGAAAAGGTCAGAAAAGCGGTGGGAACAAGGCCAAATCAAATAATTCCTGAAGTAGTAAATGAACCGTTTTAACGAAGAAGCAAAACTTACATGTCTCCTCCTTCACAATACCCTATAACAATGCACACAAAGCAACCCTGAAAGTGAAAGGCATCGAAGCTTTAATTGCAGAACTAGAGAATTATGTGGAACGTGAATAACAAGCAACTCATGGGGGAATAAAAAACAAACGTTCTTATGAGATACTGACCCTTTCAACCCAGGAATCTTTGTACTCCACGATGAACGGATTCTGTACCGTGGAAATAAGCTCCATCTGCATTACAACAGACCAAGATAACCATTTAAATTCCAGATTCTTACAACCAGCATTCCAGTACTACTCAAGTCTCAACACTGTTAGCATATGGATTTAGTTTTAAACAAAAAATAAAGAACTCCGACCTCCTGGTGAGCAGATCTCCGGCTTCTATCAGTTTGACGAGCAAGACGGATCTTCTTAAGGACATACCTATGCATGTAAGTATGTATCAAAATTTAGTAATCCTATCTCAAAGTAAATACTAGACGTAAGTTGCAAGGAGACTCACTTCTTGTTTTCGTGCTTATGCCTCACGAGAAGAGCAGAACCAAAAGAACCCTTCCCAATCTGCTCCAGAACTTCATACTGCTCCATCATATGTTCTACCACTCTCACTCTTCAGTGTCTATAAAATACATCTACACCTGAAAACAATGCCCAAACACAAACCACACATGAAGAAATTAGTGAACTTTCAACAATGTAATCACTACTCATGAAGCAAAAAATCAGTAAATAGTAAAATCATGAAGCACAATTTAACCCCATACACTAGTTTATCAGCTTAAACAAGGAAGTAAAATATGAATCGTACTATGACAAACACAAACCATCAACCCATTAAGCAATATTCAATCCCTAATCAAGCTTAATTAGCAATTTAATCAATACCCAATACGAACACGTGCGTCAATTCATCAGAAAACAAACTATGAAAACAGCAGGAAAAAGTAAGAGCAACAGTAACAGCAAGTACAAAGAAAAGTACCCAAGAATCCAGAACAGCAGAAATCACCAAGAAACTGGAAGAACAAGTGAATCTGCAGCTTCTTCTTCCTTAAAAACTTAAACTTTAAATTATTTTTTTTTTTAAAAACAAGGAGTTGGAGTAAGTAGTTTAATTAAATGGGGAAAAAAAATTAGGAAATTCAGATTAAAGCCCTCCACCTACTTCCCTCCTAATTATTTAATTTCCTAATTTTTCTCCATCAGATAATGCGAATGACAAGGTGGGCGCCAAAAGAAGTAAAACGAAAGCAAAACCGAAGAAAGAAGAATTCAAGTTCAAAATTTGCAGAGTGAGAGAGAGGGGTTTTGGCTTGGGTACGAAAAGATTCTTGAAAAGGGTAAGGATCCTCTCCTATCCCTTTCTCCTAATCCACTAAATTCGAGAATCTGGACCATTGAAATTTGATCAAACGGTTAAATTTATTATAATTTTTTAAATGAGCCCCTGTTTATGACCGTTAGATTAAATTTTAATGGTTCGGATCT